CAGTTCTATCACCACAGTTCTAATTTATAATTCTACCTTTTTTGGTAGGAATATTTTGTGAAATGTCTGAGTTGCCAATATTTCTGAATAGCGAGTCTTCATTTAGTATCCCACCTCCATCCTGACCTTACCACCCCTGACAGCCTCATTTTAAACTAGAAACATCATAACTTTTTCTTCAACAAATGAACAAAAAGAAAAAAAATAATAACCAGAGAGGGAGGAAGAAATTAAAACTTACTATGCTACTTTTGTTAATTTTATACTGCCCCCCCCCCCGCAATCTTATACTGTCTTTAAGAAAAACAAGGTACCCATTATTTCAGATTCTTTTAACTTTATTTATCCATTATGGACCCCGAAACTAATGATTTATGTGCTGCTTTCATATTATTAGATTAATCCAAAGAATTTTGGCAGTACAATTTTAGCCATAAAAATCGCAGCCCAACCTTGCCAGAATTTAGTATTGTTATAGAACCTGTATGAAGCTCTAAAACTGATCACTTAAAATCAGAGTCTGCTCTTAAATAGCCAATATCTGTATTACTTAATCGAAAAACAGGTGTAAGCTAATGTAAGGGTTATAACTAAATACAAACTTTCTGGCAAATGTTAAGAACTCCTAGACTAGTAATTTCCAGTCACAGCCACTGGATAAAATGTGCTATGCAGATCCAAGTCAGCTGAGACAAATACTAAGGCTGTGAGATGCCATGCTCTACCAGAGGCACCAAAGACATTCTGGGATGCCTCCCCTCTTCCTTCTATTTCAGAGTCAGGACAATTAGTCCTCTTCTTCTGATGTAACCCTCTTTAGCATGCCACACATTCCTCCAACAAGGGCCCCTGGGCACAGCCTGACCTTCTTTGGCCTTTGGGCCTTGTCTGCTCCCACCCCACCTACTCCATGACCTCAGGGGATTCTCCAAAGTATACACAAAAGTAAGCCAAAGATGCTATGAGGTTCTTTAAATACTGTCAGTGGCTGTAATCTTTAGCAGGTCTAAGACAAGAACAAGCCCTGTAGAGAAAAAAATGTAAATACCATAATTACCATATATTAAACTGAAAATAAAGAGCAGAGCACATATATTTAGCTACTGTGGCAGCTGGCTGTCTCTGTGTAGGTCTTTGCCTGTGGAGATCTTTGGAAGGGTAACTTCTTTCACTCTGTGAGAAAATTCTAACTTTTTGTCTTCCCTCTACAGACCTTTTCAACACATAAATAAATCAGAAACAGAAACAGTCGCCAAGATAAGGCAACTGTTAAAAAAGTAGAAAAAGTAGCAACTAAATTTATCTTGGCAAACAGTTTCTTTTTTGTCTTCTTAAAAAAAAAATGTAGCTACTTAAAATTGTAAATCTACTGGGTAAGAACTAGGCCTGAACCTATTTGTAGCACATTAAAGGAAAGTATTACACACTGGATGACAGCCACATGCTTAGGTATTAAAAAAAAAAAAATTACTATCTAAAGTTACTACTCATTTAACCTTTTTTCTTTTCTTCTTAAAGAGATTGGGTGTCACTACATTGCCCAGGGTGGGATCAAGCAATCCTCCTGCCTCGGCCTCTGAAGTGCTGGAATTACAGGTGTGAGCCACCATGCATGGCCATTCATTTATTAATAGTTTGTTTTTTTTTTTTTTTGAGACAAAGTCTCACTGTGTCACCCCAGTTAGAGTACAGTGGCATCATCACAACTTCAACTCCTAGGATGAAGTAATTCTCCTGCCTCAGCCTCCCTTTTAACTTGGACTACCGGAAATGTCACCACACCCAGCTAATTTTTTCTATTTTTTGTGTAGACAGGGTCTCGCTCTTGCTCAGGCTGGTCTCCTGGCCTCAAGTAATCCTCCTGCATAAATCGCCCAGCGTGTTAGGATTACCGGCCTGAGTCACCTCGCCCAACCCATTCATTTAGCTTTAAAAACAAGCTAATACTTACTTTATGTAATTAAAAGTGATCAGGCTTTTATTTTGTTATGATGGGGAAAGGGACAATCTTTATTAACCATTCAGACATTTAACTTACACTCAAACCATAAAAATAACCATCTAATAGTCTATATCTCAAAACTGTAAATTGACGATCCGTATAAATTCTATTAACATTTTATTGAGACGCTATAAGCATATTTAAATTCACAAGATAGATTCCCACTATAACTGCACCAAGGCTAGAGTATATATATATATATTTTTTTAGAGACAGAGTCTTACTGTTGACAGAGTCACTCTTGGTAGAGTACCATGGCATCACAGCTCACAGCAACCTCCAGCTCTTGGGCTTAGGTGATTCTCTTGCCTCAGCCTTCCCAATAGGTAGGACTACAGGCACCCACCACAATGCCCAGCTATTTTTTGTTGCAGTTTGGCCAGGGCCAGGTTTGTATTCACTACCCTCAGTATATGGGGCCAGTGCCCTACCCGCTGAGCCACAGGCCCTACCCTAAGTATAATATTATTTATTACTTGCATACTAGTATTGCCAGATTTGGGGTAAAAATTACTTTGGAAGTACCAATAAATGGCTTCACAAGAAAATGTCATGGGGTTCTGGTCAATAGATGTTACTACATCTTATGATATACAAAAACCTTATACATAATTTACAGCCCAATATGTACATTTGCTATCTATCTTACATGTTAATTACATCCCAGAGAAATTATCATATACATATGTACCCAGAGTCACAAAAAAGAAATATTAATAGCAGCATCGTTTAGAATAGTACCCTAAACATCTACCAAAAGAATAGGTATGGCTCAACAACCTGTGGCTGAAGTGGCTGAAGCGCCAGCCACATACAACAGAGCTGGTGGGTTTGAATCCAGCCCGGGCCGCCAAACAACAATGACAGCTGCAACCAAAAAATAGGCGGGCATTGTGAGGGGCGCCTGTAGTCCCAGCTACTTGGGAGGCGGAGGCAGCAGAATCTCTTGAGCCCAGAAGTTGGAGGTTGCTATGAGCTGTGATGCCACAGCACTCTACCCAGGGTGATAGCTTGAGGTTCTGTCTCAGAAAAAAAAAAAATGGGTAAAGTGTGACATATTCATATAGTGGAACACTAAAATAAAGAGCAGTGGATAATGAGTGAAGCAGAGTCACACATAAGAATGAAGCTCACAAACTGCTGAATTAAGAAAACAAGGTGCAAATGATTACCTTTAATGTGATGCCAATTAGTTTTACAACAGCTACATGACAAATGCAGTAAAAATATACAAAGAAATAGGAATACCAAACCTTGAACACCAAATTTAGGATAACTTTAGGGTAAGAAGGGGAAAAGGAAGGGGAACAGAGTTGAAGCCACAGGTGTCTCCTCCTGTCATACTTTTGTCATGCTTGATTTCTTAAGAAGTATGGTAATAGGGACCTCAGTATGATTTTTAAATAATCAAGGTAATAATTACTTAAATCTAAAAATGTACCCATTTGGTGGAATTGCATGAAATTGCCTTATTGTAAGGCAAAAAGCCATATAATAACAATTCCACACGGTTCATCCTAATATTAAAAATTCTTTACATGAAGAGCAAATGATGGTAATCATTCATTCTCTCCCCCTCCAAGAATTTACATTAAGTGCTCCATATTTAATGGCAAGATTAAAGAAACTGGGGAATAAAACTGAAGTGGAGTCAATCACTTAATCGTCAAAGAATGAAAAACAAAGATAAGCCGTCTAGTATACAAATTACATAGTATGTGTTTTTCACCTATTGCACAGAATATGGTCAAAGTACTCTCCTTTGATATAAAGTGTTACTTCCTTTCAAAGTACTTATAAGGTCCTTATCGGACAAAACATGCATTTGTACATATGAAAACTCAAGTCCATCCCACACAGTCTAGTAGTTAGAAAAAATTTAAAAAATAGAAACTCAAGTCCAGAGGAGAAATGACAGGTCCAAGCTCAAACAGGCAGTTCGTAGTCAAAGTCAAAACTAAATCCAGGCCCTGAGCCAAAATTAGCCACAATAAATTAATCAGAAGGTCAACAAATAAGTTGTTTTCTTTAGTTCCAATCAAAGATTATGTAAGAAAGAATTCAGGACAATAATCAGAGGAGTTCTGTCTCAATATAAACATAAAAAGTTCTTAACCATAACTCTTTTTTTGTCATATAAAACTCATTTCTCATAAAAATATTTTAGGTAGTGATTAAACCACTTGATTAGCTCATAAAACCAATGCATTTGGTTTTATATTAACTAGAAAACTATATACAATCCTTCAATTACACTAAAGTAAGGAGTTTGTCCCTCTCAATCCCCTCCTCCCTCTTTTCTTAGTCTAAGTACTTGTTTTTACAAGGTTTAAACTAGAATGCTGAAAGAATTTTGAGGAAAATACTGAAAGAGGAGGTACTGTGACAAGTTTTTCAAAGGAAATAGCAGTGGATTTCTTAGTGAATATGTATCACTCAAGAATAACCACAGAACTGAGATAAATAATACAAGGAGAGATTGTTCCCAAGATAAGAGAGGCAGAAACTGAAAGAAAAGGGTTAGAAAGGACAAATAAGAACTCACTGAAGAGGAATTAACAGGGACCCTCCACAGCAAGAGGCACAAGAAACGCTGGCTGGCCGCACTGTGCATAAAAGGCCCCACAGGGAGAGATTCAACAGTTACCTATCCAAGCTGCAAGGTCACTATGCAGAGTTAAGTGAGGAAAAGAACTGGTTAAAGAACATAAGAATATCTGGATTGTTTCTCCATAGGCTGGGCCTTTTGCCTGCTGAAATCTACCAAAGCCTACAATTAATGTCTTATACATATATTCTTATTTTGCTTCTTTCTAAAAGATGAATGACAAACTAACTAAAATGTTTCCATTTCAAGTGGTAGCCTGAATAGTCATAATCATTCAATGCCAAATGTCTCTGGTATGGCCTGTTCCTCAGCAGGGCCCATTAAAAGGAAAATAGCTGCCAGGACACATGCACATTACACCAGTAGAGAAGGGGGAGAGGGGAGACCAACCTGCCTCCGCATCCTGCTCCTCTAGAAGCCCGCTGGTCCTCCAGGTAGCTCCTGTGTCCTGGCCGCCTACAGAATTACTGTGCTCTTGAACTACTGCAGCCGCCAATAAATTGTCCACATTTACCACTTCTGGGTCAGAGCTGGTGTCAGACATATCATAATGAGCTACAACTGGAGGTCCATCTAGGGAGGAAAGAAAATGTATACTTGTATCTAACTCGTGGGGTAAAAAATACTTCTGAAACTATGTAAGAGCCCTCTAAATGCCAGTTGCCTTTACTATTTTATCTGATCAGAAAAGCTGTACTTTATACATCTAATATTTTTACACAATGTGAAAGTGGAAAAGATAACCCAAGCTTTACAAAGATGATGGACACATTTTTGGAGGGAGGAAAGGAGTGTTAGTTATTATGAAGAACAGAGAAGACAAGACTATACTGAACAATGTTACAATGAATTCCTGTGATACTCCTAAAGAGCAACAGATAAGAAAAAAGGGATGATCCCAGAGAAAGTGAAACTGCTTTCTTAAAGAAAAAACTGATATAAACTATTAAACCCCAATTTATATGTTTTAAGAGACTGAATCTAAGTCCTTCTCTTAGGAGCTGATACTAAAAGTTACTAGCAGATTCAGAGAAGAAAATCAAATATATAGTATTTTCCTACTTTCTAAAGAAATACGATTAACACTAGAGCTCTATTTGACTAACTTATCAGTAATATTTCCAGTAAAGTCTTTTGTAGTAACAGGGATGTCACACACTTTACAATATTCTACAAAAAGACAGTACTCACAAAATCCATTTTCAGGATTTTGCTTTGGATGTCTCATGAGGGTATTTGTATTTTCATTTCCCAAGGAAAAATCCCAGCACACACTCCAAATACACAATATGCAACCTTACAGATGATTTTACAGGAAGATATTAAAATTCTTATTAGAAAAATAAGAGACCCTTCCCCCCTCCCAAGTAGCTGAAAGAGGCAACTACTTTCAAATAATAACACTGTAGCAGTTCATGCTAAAATAATTCAATATTCATGCTTGCAGAATAGATGCATGCTTTAAAATGCTAATGCTGATCTTTTTTAACATAACAGTAAAAAGCAAAAATAACATTTTCATTCTAGAAATACCTCTAACTACCCCCATTTTAAAATAAAGCAGAAATAAAGGAATGCTGTTTCTCTACAGCTATTTATGAAGTGCAAGCAGACTATTTTTTTCTTAAAGATTTTTAAATATCATCCAACAAATGAATATTAAACACATGTATTTTATGAAAGTCTTGACTATGAAGGAATACATACACCAGTGAATCATAAAAACATAACACAATGAAGGATTACTGTTTAAATACAAACATCCATTGTGTAAACTGTCACTGAACAAAAACACACTTGGGGTATTGATGCTTTAAAACTAAACTCCCAAACCATAGGTTTATTTAGAAACATTTTTAAAATTAAAAATGACCAAACATAAATGCAAATGAATTGTGAGGTGCCACTGTATAAAAAAGACATGTCATAATATGAAATTCTGATCATGACAATTTTAGTTGACTACCTGAATGTAATTTCTAGTTCCCCTAAAAAGGCAAATAAAGTTTATCAATTACCATAAAATTAACAGCGTGCCCCTTGGTATCACTTGGTAATGAATTATAGGTCAAAAGCAAAAAAATAATTCATGTTTTGAGGTTTGAAGTTTTTTCCTTTTCTAAAAAAAAAAAGCTACATCATTATAGGAGTTATCGTCAAAGTTCAAAATGATTATTATGAAGTCAAGATACTGTGTGATGTCCAAATACTTGGGTGCAAGAAATATGAGGGCCAAGTACAATATTGACTATTTGACCATACGTTCTAATTTTGAAAGCTCTTTTATTACGATATTTACAGCAAATTATGTTAGTGAGTTATTTTAAAATTTATATGACTAAAACCATTCAGAGCCTCTTGCCCTTACATTCCCCACCACTGCCTCCAAAGTGAGGCAACAGGTCAACAGTCAAGTCAAAATTGTACCACTCCTACATGTATAATCATGCAAAAGTATAAGTGTATATATACATGCAGAGTGACATCACCTACCCATGGAAATAACTTGTCTGAAAGTCTTCATCAGTAGGAAATACAAGCATAAACTTGTTATCTGGCTTCATTCTTGTATCTTCCATATTTCCAAACAGCATACCTTATAACTTAGCTTAAATTTAGTATTCATCATAAACAAAGACAGCAATATTTTCATATTTTAATTCCACTTAACAGATTATGGCCATTGTCATTTTCCATATCCCACATATTCAAACAATGACAAGTCAATACTATACAAACTTCAATAAAATAATGAAATGGTTGCCTTTCCAACTTTGTTTTCCAATAAGAAATCACAATTAAGGATTTTATGTTCTAAGGTCATCTTACACCTATCATTAGCAAACCTAGATTAAATGAAATATGTTAAAAGCACTTTGTATCAAAACTTGTACTCTGAACTACTTCATGAATATTAGCTGATTGTGACAATTTGTGATATTCTTTTAAAACATGATTCTCACTACACAGAATTATGCATCAGACAAGATTTTATTTGCTTTCTAAAAGAAGTATCTCTTGAAGAAAAAAAAAATTAGACCACTGAGGAGGAGCTAGGAAGACTCAGCACATTAATAACAGAGCAACTCTCTATTTGACTATCAACTCATTACAGGACAGAATAAACATGGAGAAAATATACTTGCTCTCACTTGATTATCCCTATCAGCTATTAAAACAATTGCATTGTTACTGAGACCTTATTTTGACTTTTAAGAACATCACAATAATCATTTCAAGTAAAGTTATACATGGAAACAATTCCAATTTAAGATTTAGTCATTAACAAAAGCACATTTCATGCTTATGGCTTTTAAAGTTATCCAAACTGTACATTCTTCCATCTGCCAACTAGATCTCTGTCAGTGTTAAAACATAAATTTTTAACAATGAACTTATTAGTTTTCCTGCAGTCATTAAAACCATCTCTTTATAAAGGTAAATTTCACACAATTAGTTAATAACTACGGTTAATTCAGTTGCTACTTCTTTTGATTGTAATCTTTCAAAATGTTTGCAGTTTGTTACAAGAAAAATTGAAGATTGAGCAATCCACCAATTACTTTTTATTTAAAAGCATCAATTTATTCTATAAATAGGTATGTACCCTCACTATTCTCCTATCCTATAATAAACAGGTTCTAACTTTTCAAACACCAAAATATAGATGTACCTATATTGTCAACATTAATTAGTGATACCGTGAGTTTTACCCCTTTTATGATCTTAAACCTTCTGCATAATTGCTGTCAAATGCTTACTTTTATAAATTAGTTTCCTTTTCAAACACATTCTAAATCCCATGGAAAAAAAGTCTGAATCATAAAACAAAACTTAACTTTTCCTTTACTGTGTTTAATCATGACAAATTCCTCTTTTCAAATTTGACAACCAGAAGCACACAACTCTACAAGGTAATCCCATAATTCACTACTCTCATTTTACAGATGAGAAATTTGAGTCCTAATTAGGTAAAACCAGAACAAACTACAGGTGTTCTCATTGCAGAGGGGAAAAGGAATATATGAGATTGGGAGCAGCATAGGAGTATAATTTTTGGCAGCAGACATACTGGTTGAAGCCCTGCCTACTACCTCTTCCCTGTATGTCTCTGGTAAATATTCCATTCCTCTGTTTCTTCAGAGGTTATGGTGAGGGTTAAAGTAAACATAATCCAGAACACAGTCAGAATTCATACACAGGTCCTCTTTCCAGTATAACTGTGCCTGCTCCACTTCACTGTTTGCTTACCTTTGCATATACACTCTTCTGTAAACAGCACGTATGCAAGAAACTTTAAGGAAACATCATTGCCTGAACTGTTGCTCTATGTTGTTCACAGATGAACCCAACTTGTTACATAAATGTTTTACTAGGATTAATAATTGAATGAGGTCATCACAAATGTGAATTTTATATTTTTGCTTGACGTGAAACGTCATCTTACATGTATGCATATAAAAGTGTTTCAGCTGGGTGCACTGGGTCACACCTGTAATCCCAGCTACTCAGGAGGCTGAGGCAGAAGGACTGCGTGAGTTTAAGGTTGCAGTGAGCTACAACTGCCTAGGTGGCAGAGCAAGACCCTGTCTTTAAAAAAAATAACAATAATAAACAATGGCTCAGCGCCTGTAGCACAGTGGTTACAACGCCAGCCATATACACAGAGGGTGGCAGGTTCAAACCCGGCCCGGGCCAGCTAAACAACAATAACTACAACAAAAAACAGCCAGGTGTTATGGTGGGCTCCTGTAGTCTCAGCTGCTTGGGAGGCTAAGGCAAGAGATTC